AGCGTATGGTCAGACCCTGGGATCCCAGTGGGTTCAGGGGAAGAAGCATGTGTGGTTAGTTCCAGGATAGGGGTGATTTCAGTATCAGAGACTCCATGCAGAATTACATAGGGGAGGTAATGGCGTAGTGGTATTATCGCTGAACTGTTAATCCAGACACCCAAGTAATGTTCCGGGGGCACAGGTTCGAATCCCAACATGGCAGGTGGTGGAATTTGAATTCAGAAAAATCTGGAATTAGGAGTCTGATGATGACCATGAATCCATTGCCTACTGTCAGAAAATCCTATCTGGTTCACTAATGCCCTTTAGGGAAGGAAACTGCCATCCTTCCCCGATGTGACCTACATGTGACTCCAGACCCACAGCAATGTGGTTGACTCTTAACTGCCCTCTGGGCAATTAGGGGTGGGTAATAAATGCTGGCCTGGCCAATGATGCCCTCATCCCGTGAATGAATTAAAAACACACAAACGCACCATGTTAGAAAAGGGAGAGGCTGACTTTGGATTTAGATTAAGTCTTTCATTCCCACACAGGACTGCTGATAAAGCTCCATTCTTATTTCAGACCTATGTACATGGGAAATCTACACTAGGAAATGTAACACTTTTAATTTCAAGCCCTCAATGTTCCATCAAACACCCTCAGGACTGGTACAGGAGCGTTAGATACAGAAATAAAGCTCCCTCTACCCTGTCCCCATCAAACAGTCCCAGGACAGGGTCAGATACAGAGTAAAGCTCCCTTTACCCTGTCCCTATCAAACACTCCCAGGACTGGTACAGTACAGGGTTAAATTCAGGGGAAAGCTCCCTCTAACCTGTCCCCTTCAGGAAATGCTGATGGTCTGGTGCAGAGTCTATGCTTTGCTGGCTGCAAGTCTCTTCTCCAAACCACCTTGCCCAAACTGATGTCATACTGTGTTTTAGGAGCTCTGCTCTGAAGCATCTCGGGATATTTTTGTGTCATTACTGGGGCTATATAAATGCAACTTGAGTTGATTAAAGAGGAACCCCTGATTATCTCTTGCACCCACCTGAGACGGTTGCCCTGGTTTGGCCACTGGTATTGAGGCTCAAACCCACTGCGAATTCGGTTTCCATTTTGGCGAAAGATGACTTCTGGGTCAAAGGCTAGGACCGAGATTAAAGAAAAGTTTTGTTACGGTCTCATATGATCATACTTTGACATCATTCTCAGCTCCATTTTCTAAAATTGCCATAGACACACTGGACACCATGAGAATGTCACATCACAAGAAAGGCACGGTGCAGGTCTCTCAGCTTCTTGAACATACTCCGTCATTCAATAACACCCTGGATAATCTGACTACTCCATGTTCCTGTCTACCTACAATTTCCTTTCATCCTCTTACTTATCAACATTCTACACATCTCTGGGGTGACAAGGTGGCTCTGTGGTTAGCACTGCTGCCTCACAGCGCCAGGGACCTGGGTTCGATTCCAGCCTCAGGCGACTGTCTGTGTTTAGTTTGCATATTCTCCCAGTGTCCGCGTGGGTTTGCTCCGGGTGCTCCAGTTTCCTCCCACAGTCCAAAGATGTGCAGGGTAGGTCAACAGGCCTGAATTGCTGCCCAAATCATCAAAGAATTCTAGCTAATTAGTCAAAAATGATTTACCCTTTACAAAACCACACTGACTCTGATGGATTGCATTTTGACTTTCTAAATGTCTTATCATAACTTCCTTGATAATGAATTCTAATAAATTCCCAATGACATCAGTAAATTAACTGGTCCATAGTTTCCTACTTTCTGCCTCCCTCCTTTTTGAGTAAGTTTTTAATCTTTGCATTTGTGCTTTTTCAAATCCATTGGAACCTTTCCTGCATCCATAGAATTTTGGAATAGTATAACCAATGGATCCACTATCTTTACTGCCACGTCCTTTAAGACCCTAGGATGTAGACTGTCAGGTCCTGGGGACTTGTCTGTCTTTAATCCAAGTAGGTTGTTCAGTACTTTTCTATCCCCTAGAGTTGGCACTTCTTTTAAGTTCCTCCTTTTTGATAATCTCAGTGTCCTCCACCGTCAAAATGGAGGGCAAAATATCAATGTAGTGACTGCCATTTCTGTGTTGCCTAATATTAACTCCCAGTCTTGTCCTCCAAGTGACCAATATTTACTTTAGCTACTGTCTTCCTTTTTATATGTTTATGGAAGCTTTCACTGTCTATTTTTATAGTTTGCACTAGTTTCCTTTCAAATTAACCATTGCACTTTTGTAAGAACGCTTTAAAAGTCTTTAAAAAGGGTCATAATCCTCCAGCCTCTATGACGTTAGCAATGTGGTGCACCTTAGTTTTTTTTCCCTTTACTGTCTTTAACTTCCTGGCTTAACCAGGATGCAGATGGTTATTTTCCCCTCCTTAAAACCTTTATTCCTGTCTGAAGTATATTTCAGTTGGGAGGAAGTGAATACCTCCTTAGATGTCTTTGACTGTTCATTAACTGCCCTACCTTTTAGTCTTTCAATGCAGGCCAAATCTGTCCTTATGTCTGTGTAATTACCTGTGTATAACACCAGAATAGTAGTGTGGGACTCCAGTTTCTCACCCTCCAACTGAATTTGATCACTGATCCCTAGTGGATCCTTTACTATGAGATCATTAATTAGTCCTACCTCATTACACAATCCTAAATCCAGAATAGCCTACTCCCTGGTTGGTTCCCCAATATATTGCTCCAAGTAACAATCTCTAATACATTCAGTGAGCTCTCCCTTGAAATTACCTTTGCCAATTTGATTAATCCAATATATACGCATCGTTGAATCACCCACAATTATTGCTGTACCTTCCTTACAAGCCTCCAGTATTTCCTGGTTTATTCAGCGCCCCACTGCAGGACTACAGTTTGAGGACCTATAGATTACTCCCAACAGGGATTTCTTTCTCTTGCTATTTATTTATATCTACCCAGAGTGATTCTACATCATGATCTCCAGTGCTGATGTCATTTCTCACTACAGCGTTGATCTCTGCTTTTACTAACAATGAACTCTCAAATTCTTGCACCAGGGAAGAAATCTCACAGGATCATATTCTTTAGTTCTTCTAAGCCCCAAAGAATTGGTTAAAATAGATGAGCCATTATCTTATCAAAAGGCGAGGCAAGCTCAAGAGGCCTAGTGGTCCTACTTCTGCTCCGATTTCATATGTTTGTATGCAACGTGTTTACAAATTTAACATCACGTCCACAGCTTAAATTGATACTTATATTAATGTAACAAAACATCCTGTAGCTCTTTACAGGAGTATTATAAAGCAAGATTCATTCCTGAGCCACATGAGGAGATATTAGGACAGATGCCAATCAGGGAGATGTCAAGAACATCTTAAATGAGGAGAGAGAGGCAGAGAGGTTTGAGAAAGAATTCTAGAGTTTATGGCCCAGGTACCTCAAGGCATGGCTGCTAATGGTGGAGTGATTAAAATTAGGGATGTTCATGAGGCCAGAGATAGGTGTGTTTTCTTTACTGCCTTTATCTCTCTGAGGTATGTCTGTGTACTGGGTAACTCTCCGGAGTGCCAATCCAGACCATGAGAGTTTAAATCCCACTGTATAAAATCTGAGAATTTTAATTCAATTAAAAATAAATCTGGAAATTAAAACACTGGGATCAGGACAAGCAGTGACGAAACCATCTGATTGTTACACAAATCCATCTGATTCTCTAACAGTCTTTTAGGGAAGGAACCTGCCATCCTTCTGTAGCTGACACTAGACTCACACCAACCTGGTTGACTTTTGAAAGCCCCCGTGAATGACCTAGCAAAATGCTTTGCTGCATCAAACCACTCGACTGAAAAAGGTTCACCACTGCATACTCAGGCCAAATTTTATTGCCCTTTCACAGCATATGGCCTTTATTAGCATTTGTTGCTTATCCCTAATTGTCCTTGAACTGACTGGCTTGACAGATCAAGTCAGAAGCAGAAACCCTTAACCCATTAAAAGGAAACCTGGGTCTGCCCCTGAAGTGCCAGGCTACAGGCTACAGCTGGCAAGTGGGGCCAGAGGGAATGGTTGGTGAAGCTGCGATAGACTGAAGGGCCTCTATCTGTGCTGAACATTTTCAGGGGTGTATTCCCTTCCCTAAAGAACATGAATAAATCGACTGGGGTTTTACAACAATCAATTTCATGATCACCAGGGCTTTATATTCCGCATTTATTAATTAAATTCAAAATCCAGCAGTTGCCATGGTGAGATTTGAACCCATAACTTCAGAGCATTAGCCTGAGCCTCTGTCAGCCTGTCACAAAATTTCATATTTGGTGCGTATGAAAACCTAGAATCAAGCATTCCATCTTCTTGGCCCTTCCACTTTAGTTCGACCTGTCTATGTTTCTACCTCTCTGTCACCAGAAGGTGCTGGCATATTACTACATTTAATTGTATCGGTCTCCTACTTGTCCAGTCTGCAAACCTGCCCAACTAGCTGGAACCTATAGGTCACTATTGTCCCATGTGCAGCTGGCTAACTGACCAGGAGGAATGAGCTGATCCTCTGAGATGATGTTCTCCACTTGCCCGACATTGCGATCAGCCTGTCCATCATCGTTGTTCAGGAATTCTCCCTGCTCACCCGCTGCCAGCTTCCATCCCCGACCTGCACAGAAACAAACACTGATCAGGGTATCACAGAGCAGCAAGGTGGTTCAGACTCAGAGCTCACCTGTAATGCACTTCAGAATAAAACCCCTTCAGACAGATCTTCCCTACTCGTCGGGGACAGTGTAGAGGCAGCTTTACTAACAGTTCAAAAGAATCAAAAGGAGCTTTACTCTGCAACCCCATCCTTTATCTGTCCTTGGCGTGTTTGGTGTGGACAGTGCAAATGGAGCTTCACTTTCAGTTTAAAAGTGTAGATGGAGCTTTACTGTGCATCAAACCCGTGCTGTTCCTGTCCTGGGAGTGTTTGATGAGGGACACTGTAGAGGGAGCTTTACTCTCTATGAACCCCATGCTGTCACTGTCCTGGGAGTGTTTGATGAGGGATAGCATAGAGGGAATTTTACTCTGTATCTAACCCCATGCTGTCCCTGTCCTGGGATCATTTGATGAGGGACAGTGTAGAGAGAAATCTACCCTGTATCTAACCCCGTGCTGTCCCAGTCCTGGGATCGTTTGCTGGGGACAGTGTAGAGAGAACTTTACTCTGTATCAAACCCTGTGCCATCCATGTTCTAGGATAGTTTGATGGGGAAAGTGCTGTGCTGTCCATGTCCTGGCAGTGTTTGATGGCGACAGTGTAGAGAGAACTTTACTTTGTATCTAACTCAGTGCTGTCCATGTCCTGGGATTGTTTAAAGGGGGGGTCAATATAGACGGTGATGTTAATAATTTGTTCCTGGGTCTCCTTGCTTTAATAATGCTCTGTGCAGAATTTGCTGACAACTCCTTTGTTGGCAAGGGCACGGCACAGACACTTTCCAAAGGCATCATGGAATCCCAGAGCCTCGTGATTGTTCCTTACCCCAGAAATGTGCTGATCTTGATGGATATTCCACTAGTGCTGGTATCCCGGCATTCCAGAGGTCCAGCTGCCGCACCTGACCTGGAGCGGGTCGTGGTTCCTCCATCCTAGGGGCTGCCATGTCCTGTGTGGGCGTGGACCCCAGTGGCTGTCCTCGCCCCCAGGAACGCAAAGCAGCTGTCCTCGACAGGCCATGGTGCTGGCTCGCTGGCAGAGAGGGGGCAGTCTGCACACGGTCATTGGATGCTGGGGTTCCTGCACTGGGAACAATGGCTGTTGTCAATGTGTAGGCACCTGGAGGCAGGTTTGGCTGCAGCATAGCTCTCTGCTGCTCATCCCGCACACACAGCGTGGCGTTTGGACTCAGTCCTAAAGCTCCCAATGTACTGCCCAGGTCCTCGTCCGTGAAATGCCTCTTTGGGAAACCCTGTAGTAGATCGATATTCTGGAGATCGGGGAATTGCTGTGTGATGTAGTCCTTCACACTCTGCAGTGTTCTGTCCTGTCGGAATCGCTCCCGGAGCACATGTCCAGATGGGAGCCTGATCTGAAGGAATAGACGACAAAGCAGAAGTATGATTACAGGATTAGGCCACTCAGCCCTTCAAGCCTGCTTTACTATTTAAAAAGATTACGGCTGATTTATGCCTACATTGGAAGGGGCATTGAGTATAAGGACACACAAATTATGCTGCAGCTTTATAGAACTTTAGTTAGGCCACACTTGGAATATTGTGTACAGTTGTGGTCACCACACTTCCAGGAGGATGTGGATGTTTTGGAGAGGGTACAGAAAAGGTTTACCAGGATGTTGCCTGGCACGAGGGATTTTAGCGATGAAGAAAGGTTGGATAAACTGGGTTTGTTTTCACTGGAACACAGGAGGTTGAGGGGCGACCTGATACGAGTTTAAAAGGTTGTGAACAGCATAGACAGAGTAGAACGTATAGAGCTTTTTCCCAGGATGGAGGGGTCATTATTAGGGGACACAGGTTCAAGGTGGGTGTGGGGGGAATGTTTAAAAGAGATGTGAGAGGCCAGTTTTTCACACAAAGGGTGGTGAGTGCCTGGAACGTGCTGCCAGAGGAGGTGGTGGAAGCAAACACAATAGCAGCGTTCAAGAAGCACCTGGATAGATTCTTGACTAGGAAGGGAATTGAGAGATACGGATCCTTAAGTGAAGACAGTTTCAGTATGGAAGGGCAAAGTGTGTCGGCGCAGGCTTGGAGGGCCGAAGGGTCTGTTCCTGTTCTCTAATTGCATCAGTTCACATTCCCACATACCCATAATTAATTGAATCTGGAAACAGGTCAGCCTGAAGCTGGAAGATTAAAGAAATAGACATATAGTAATCACCAATAAATCAAACAGGAGAAACCTCTTAAAGCAAAGAGAATGGGGGAGCAATGCATTCAACGCAGTCTCCTTTGATTTCAGCTTTGACAAGGCTCTGCTTGGGAGACTGATGGAGAAGGTAAGAGCCCTTGAGATCCAAGGAAATGTGGCTGAGCGGTAGGAAGCAGAGGGTGATGGTTGCGGGATGTTTTTGTGACCAAAAGCCTGTGTCCAATGGGGTTCTGCAGAGATCAGTGTTGGGGCCCTTGCTATTTGTGATTTATGTAAATGACTTAAACTTGAATGTGCGAGGGCTCATCAGTAACTTTGTGATGGTATGGTTATTGATGGGATGGTAAATAGTTAAGAGAATAGCCTTAGATTACAGGAGGATATAGATGGGCTGATCAATAGCAATGGAATTTAATCCGAATAAGTTTGAGGTGGTGCACTTGGGTAGGAACAACAAGGCAAATGAACACATGATGAACGGTAAGACTCTGGGAAGCACTGAGGATCAAAGGGACCTTGGTGTGCATGTCCACAGGTACAATAGGTTACCAGGGCAGGTGGATAAAGTGGTCAAGGGGGCATATGGGATACTTGTCTTTATTAGTGGAGGCGTAGTGTTTAAGAGCAGGAACTATATGAAACATTGGTTAGGCCACAGCTAGACTAGTGTGCAGCTGTGGAACCCACATTATAGGAGGGATGCGATAGCACTGAAGAGGGTGCAGGGGAGATTTACCAGGAGGTTGCCTGGGCTGGAGAGTTTCCATTTTGAAGAGAGATTGCGCAGACTGGGGTTGTTTCCCTTGGAGCAGAAAAGTTTGAGAGGTACAGGATTGAGCTGTGTAAAATTATAAGGGGCACAGGCAGAGTAGACGGGAAGAAACTTTCCCCTTGATGGATGGACCAATGACCGAGGGATAGATTTAAGGTAAGGGCAGGAGGTTTAGAGGAGATGTGTGGAAAAATGTTTTCACCTGGAGGGTGGTGGGAATCTGGAGCTCAATGCCTGTAAGGGTGGTAGGGGCAGAAACTCTTCTAAAATTTAAGAAGTATTTTAGAAGTGCACTTGCAATACCAAGACATACAAGGCTATCAGCCAAATGCTACCAGGATTAGAGTAGTTGGTGGTTGTTTTTTTACTGCCACGGACTTGATGGACTGAAGGGTCTTTTTCTGTGCTGTACACCTTTGAGTCTATGACTCTATGAACTGCTCCCAGGAGGTGAAGATGTCTCGCTACTGCTTTCCTGAAACAAATAGGAAGTGTCAATAAATGCCAGAGATTGCCATGTCTTGAGGTTGGGGGCTGTTTCTCCCAGTGTTTCTGCAAATCCTCTGACAGGAATCAGGAAAGGAGGTTCCATCCTCTCCCACAACCCCACCAAGTACAATTCAACCCCACAATGTGTAGGCTGCTTACTCCCTCCCTCGTTACACCAGTCAGATAGTCTGAGAAATCTCCATCACAGTGCAGTGCAGATAGACCATGGGGAAGGGTGTTTGGGGCGGGCAATGTTTGGATTGTGGGAGGAACGAGATCTGAGCGCTCAGAGCAACAAAATAGTACAAATGGGAGTTTCAGGTGGCAAATGGACTCAGGCCTAGAAAAGCACAGCAGATCAGATAGCATCCAAAAAGCAGGTAAGTCAACGGTTCGGCCCTATACATTGACTTACCTGCTTCAAATCATAGAATCCCTATAGTGTGGGAACAGGCCCTCCGGCCCAACGAGTCCACATCGATCCTCAGAGCATCCCACCCAAACCCATGCCCCTATAACCCATCTAATCTACACATCCCTGAACACTACAGGCAATTTCCCATGGCCAATCCCCCTAGCCTACACATCTTTGGACTGTGGGAGGAAACTGGAGCACCCGGAGGAAACCCACGCAGACACAGGGAGAATGTGCAAACTCCACATAGACAGTCACCCGAAGGTGGAATCAAACCTGGGTCCCTGGTGCTGTGAGGCGACAGTGTTAACCACCATGCCACCATGCCACCGTGCCACCCTAGCGAAGGACAACGTGACTTCCCTGACTGGGAATCGAACCTGTGCCGCGGCAGTGAAAGCGCTGAATTCTAACCACTAGACTACCAGGGAAGGCCCTGCTTCTTGGATGCTATCTCACCTGCTGTGTTTTTCCAGCCTCACACCTATAGACTCTGGCCTCCAGCATCTACTGTTCTTATTGTCTCCAGGCCTAGAAAAACTCACCACAAGAATACAATGGTCTTCTACTGCAGTTTGAACTTTACCCTGTAACATCTGACCCTGTTGAAGGGGATTGGGCTGGCAAGTAGGAGCCGATTTTGCTTTCAGATTTTCTCGATCATCAGCTATTCTCTTCAACGCCAATTCATGGTCCTGGAACAGCAAATCAAACAACAGATTGGTTATCCCAGAAAACTACTCACACCTCTTTCTGACCCTGCTGGGCAAAACCCTTTCAGCCTCTTACCCCTAGCCCTCGGTCAGCCCATTCTTGTAGTCAGAAAAACCTTGGGAGATAGATTTAAATGCTTATAGATTCTCTACAACAATATACCAATGAATACAACCATTCAGCCATTTTGTCTAAACTGGCTGTGAAGGAACAATTCACTTACTCCAACATCCCTGCGTCCTCCCTGTAGCCCCGCAAACTAGTTTCTTTCCAGCAACTTTGGGGAAATAATGGTGGCATATAGGAAATATCTCTTGGCTAGTAATCCAGACAGCCAGGCTAATACTCTCAGGGCAAGGATGATAGAACTTGAATTTATTGAATAAATCTGGAATATAAAGGTCGCCTCACCCATTGTTATAAAAATCATCAGGTTCACTAATGTCCTTTAGGGAAGGAAATCTCCTGCCCTTACCTAGACAGAACTGTTTGGCCCCTCAAGCCATTCAATACGATCATGGCTGATCTGGCATTCCTCACGGCCATTTTCCCTGTAACCACTGATACCTGACTGATCAAGAATCTATCTATCTTTGTCTTAAATATACACATGGACTCTGCCCCTACAGGTCTCTGTGGCAAGGAGTTCCAAAGACACCCAACCCTCTAAAAAGAAGAAATTCCTCCTATTCTCAGTCTTAAATCGGCACCTCTTTGTTCTGAGACTATGTGTTGTTGATCGTAGACTCTCCCATGAGGAGAAAATCCTCTCAGCAGTTACCCTGTAAAGCCCCTTAGGAATCCTATATGTTTCAATGCCATCAATTCATTCTTCTAAACTCCAGAGAGTAGAGTCCTGAATTGTTTAGCCTTTGCTTATAAGACAATCCCTGAAAAATAGGATAAATAAAGAATACTGTTGTTATCGAGTCCCAGAATGGTTACAGAACAGGATATCCAGCCTGGCATATCCATCTAGGGAGGTCCAGTATCCTCCCATTTGAGAAACCATTGCTGAGCATTGAGAAGGGAGGAAAGTCAGAGGAACTCACTGCATCTTTGTCATGTACCTTCTGTTTCTTCCTCCTCTCGGCTTTGATTTGCTGAGCGAATTGCTCCCTCTGCTGCTCCTCAAACTCCTTCAGGTTGGGATTTCTCCTGGACAGGGGTAACGCTGGGTAAGGTGCTGCTAAACCAAAGTTACAAAACAAAACAATTAGCACTGTCAGAGATTGGAGGCCAGAGAGAAAGACTACATGATAACAACAGGTGAAGACAGGGTATTGTCATACCTGACTGGGGGAGTACGCTAGAAATCAATCCCTGCTATTCCCAGAGGCACATAACAGTTAAAGACTTTAAAGTTAAAGTTAAATAGTTAAACACACAAAATTCCTCAATTTACCTGATTTTTCAGACCCAGGTTGTTGAAAGCACAAATCAGGTTTCTGTACTTAACAAGGATTGCTACTCATTACAAATAATTAGATTTTAGCTACAGGTAAACAGTGTAAATGATTGCCACGTAACAGCACGAATTAAAACCCTATTATAAATTCTCTCATAAACACATATACACACATATATACAGGGAAAAAAACATGGACAGAGGAAACACTGGGAAAGCAGGTCAGTTGTCTTTGCTCACAAGTCTGTTGAGTTGGTTCTTGCTGATCAAACTGTTTTATCTTGGCATTCCTTTTCCAACTGGTTTGCAAGAAGCACAGGGTGGTTGGTTCACTTATAATAGGTCACTGACTTATCAATTAAAAGTCACAGCTTACAACAACTGCTGAACGAAAGATAAACTAGTTTTCTTCAGGTCTAAAGTGACACTGCAGAAAACAGAGAGGTAACTCCTGGGCTGTTAGCAATCTGATCACTTATCTGTATCTCACTCCTACCCCCATATTGTTCAGTTACTTAAAAAATCAATCTCTCAATTGTTGACAAGCAAAAGGTACCTGTCATCAATAGCTGATCACTAGTCCATAGACCAATGAACTACCAATAAACAGAACTCCTTGGCTCTATTGTCTGCAACTTAAACTTCAAATTACTGCTTGTTCAGACAGCTTTATAAGTGATGTTGGTCATGAGGGTCAGGTTACTTATTTTTCAGAACATACAGCAATCCTATAAAACCTGTCTCTCTCATTATGATGCACAATTTAAAAAAAACACAAAAATAAGAAGTCACCGTCCTTACACAATTAACACAGGGGTTCAACTTGACCCATAGCCGTAAATGCATTTGCATCACAAGTGCACATCTAAATACTTCTTCAATCTTATGAGGGTTATGCCTTTACCATCCTTACAAGCAATAAGTTGCAGTGCTATATCAGTTGTGGTGGGAATGTTTCCTACCACCGAGGCAGAAGGACTGTGTTCATGTCCCATCTGCTCCAGAGTTGTGTCATAACATGTCTGAGCAAATTGATTAAACATATCTATACAAAGACCTGAGTTTGAACTATGTGACTGTGTGCAGTGAATGGATTGTAATTCAGTACTGGAAGCCTGCACAAACTTGTGTTCAGCAGAGCCTTGAGATAGCCAAGAAGGTCCCTTTGCTGATTTGGACTGCAAGTTTTGTGAGGCTCAGCTATAATGAACAGAACCCAGGCTGGACTGAGCCAGAGGAATATATGACCACTTCAAATATGGAGATGTGATCTAGATCCCATGGACTTCCATTGTGACACACCAGACAACATAGGGCAGGAAGAACTGTAAAAGGAAGCCAGCAACCATCAGTGTGTGACCATGTGACTAATGAACTCCAGGGACAGATCTCAATTTGTAACCAAACTAGTTCAGCACACCAATGCAAAGCAGCAATTGGGCAGAAACAGGGTGCTTCATCAACAAAGGGGAAAAAATAAAAGTCACACTGGCACCGTACCAGATCATCTTCACAATATGCAGTTTTGGCAGGGTGCTGGGTCAGTGTGGGAGACCTTAAAGCCACATCTATCCTGATTCGGAATACTCAATCACCACGTGGAGCCAGTAGAATGATATTGGGTTCTTTGTGCCAGTGAAATATTATAATAAACACTGAATAATCTCCCATATGTTCTGATGCAGGGTTACTGGACCCGAAACATTAACTCTGCTTTCTCTCTGCGGATGCTGCCAGAACTGCTGAGTTTCTCCAGCAATTTCTGTTTTGTTTCATATCATTGTTTCATAATAAACATCTAACACAATGGCTGTCTTTACAAAGAGTGGTCAAGAAATCTGATACAGGAACATTGAGAGCCGAAATTATCTCACATGTTTTCGAAGGGAGAGTATTATTTTAAATGTGGCACTGGAGTGATCACAGCGCTAGAGTTTCGTTCTATGCATTGATTGTAGTTCATAATATGACCTTCTCCAACTTTGGTAACAGCAGCTCCAACAACACTCGAGACATTCAACCATCCACTTCCTTAGCACGTCATCAACCACCTTCAACATCCACTCCCTCCACCACCAACACTCAGTAGCAGCAGTGTGTACTATCTACAAGATACACCGTAGAAGTTCACCAAAGATCCTTAGAGAGCACTTTCCAAATCTATGATCACTTCCATCTAGAAGGACAAGGGGAGTAGATACATGGGAACACCACCCCCTGCAAGTTCCCCTCCAAGCCATTCACCATCCTGACTTGGAAATATATCGCCGCTCCTTCAGTGTTGCTGGGTCAAAATCCTGGAATTCCCTTCCTAAGGGCATTGTGGGTCTACCTACAGCACATGGGACTGCAGCAATTCAAGAAGGCAGCTCACCCCCACCTTATCAAAGGGGAACTAGGGACGTGCAATAAATGCTGGCACAGGCAGTGATGCCCACATCCCAGGATCAGACAAATGAAAAAGAAATTATTCCTACCCCCATCTCAGTGCAAGTAACCCATCTTCTTCCCTGTTCTCCCCCAACCCCCCATACTGGAAATTTGCTCCTTCCATCTGCTCTGTTACTCCCATCCCAAGAGTTATTTCTAGTTCCCCCCAAACATTGCACCCCTCCCCCCCACAGTGTAATCTCCAGGTATTCCATTCTCTGTCATGTGGTAATCCGGGGAGCTCTGTCATTGTGGTATATCACAGAGCTTCAGGGTAATGTTCTGGGTACATGGGTTCAACTCCTGCTATGGTACATGCTGAAATTTGAATTCAATAAAAATCTCAAATTAAAAACTAGCCTAATGGCAACTGTCATATAAACCTATCTGATTCACGAATGCTCTTCAGGGAAGGAAATCTGCTGTCCTTACCCAGTCTGGCCTACATGTGACTCCAAGCCCACAGCAATTAGGGATGGGTAATAAATGCTGGGCTGAGTCAGCAATGTCCACATGCCGTTAAATGTAGCTAGAATGTAAGGGTTAAATAGCTAATTTTCTGTGGCAGAAAATGAATGCACAGACAATACTTCTATACCCTAAAGGCCAATGTCAGCAGGAACCTGTCAGCAAATCTTGTACCATTAGAGCTTGTATTAACAAAACATCAGAGAGCTCCTGGAGTCAGAATGCATGTAGAGACAGGGATTTAACAGGTCACTGAAAACAGCACCTGGCTATGGTAGGATTAATGGGTCCTTGACTGGGTGAAGAAGACATTAACAATATTAAGCTATGACTTAGAATAAGCATCCATTTCGTAGTATGAAACAAGTTTAGAATTTACAAAATAGGATGCCTATGCAGTTAAAATGCCATAAATGACTCCTTTTTCCGTATTCCGCACAACGTTGATTCTAGCTGATCTAGAGTGGGACTCTCACCCAGTATATGCTTGAACAAATAATTGAAAACCAGTATGCAACACTCCTATGCTTGATCATTAGAAATAATGCTAACAAATAATTAAAAAGACCTGGCTACTGCCCCATTCCTCCGGTTTTACCTTTAGATGGATGCTGTGTGTCAGGTGAGATGTATCTCTGGTTGACTGTAGTTTTGGTCAAGGTTGGAGTCAGTCCCTGAGTAAGTGGTGGGTTAAATGCTGACATTGCCCCAGGTACTGAACCCCTCGACTCCTGACCATGTTTGGTGCAATCTCCCCCTTGGAGCAACCTGTGAAACATCATAAACAAAGTAATACAACAGCAGCATGTCAGCCAAACAGCATGGAGGAAGTGAAGACTTAACACAGAATCTGAGTCCAATACACCACACTCAGCAATCCCAACATCATTCAAAGTCCCACACACAGGCACACACACACAGAAACAGACACAGACACACACAGAAACAGACACAGACACACACGATACTGTGGCTCAAAGAAAAAGTTGAGCTTGATCCCCAAACCACTTCACAGCTAATGACATAACTCAGGAAGACACTCACTGTTGAGTCAATGGGTGCACTGCAAATCCCACAGCCACCAATTTGGTAAAGATCTGCTAATTTCTTAGTGATGCTTATTGAAGAATAAATATTGGCCAAATACACTGGAGAGAATTCCCCTCCTCTCTTCTTCAAATCAATGAACATGGGATCTTTGCTATCCAGCAGAGAGGGCAGATAGGCCCTGGGTTTAATGCATCATCTGAAAGGCAGTAACTCCAACAGCAGCATTTCCTCACTGGACAGATATGAATGAGGAGTAAATCGTTCATCATTACTTATCCACATTTCTGAAAAACAAGGGTTTCTGTCAGCGGATCTATCTCAAGGTAACAGTTCAAAGTGAGTTAGCAACATCATCCTTAGTATTGACAGGCCAGCTGATAGGGGATAGTAGCAAGACATTACAGCACCTCAGCCTTTGCCTACGCTGTAACTTCCATTTGTACAGCACGTCAACACAGTAACATGCCCCAAAGTGGCAGTGAGAATTGACCAAAGATTGATATTGAGACACAGTTGGGGATGTTGGGTTAGGTGATCAATTTCACTGTGATTTGGACAAGCTGAGTGAGAGGGCAAATGCATGACATATGAAGTACAATATGGATAAATGTGACGAACTGGGTGTCCTTGTACATCAGTCACTGGAAGTAAGCATGCAGGTGCAGCAGGCAGTTAAGAAGGCAAATGGTAAGTGGGCCTTCATAGCCAGAGGATTTAACTTTAACCAGAGGATCAGGGATATTGCTGAAATTATACAGGGCATTGGTGAGACCACAACTGGAATACTGCGTGCAGTCTGATCTGCTTATCTGAGAAAGAATGTTCTGTCTACAGAGGGAGTAAAATGAAGATTTACCGGATTGATTCCTGGAATGGCAGGGCTGACATATGAAGAGAGATTGATTGGTTAGGATACGTTCACTGGACTTTAGAAGAATGATGTGGGGGGGTCCCTTATAGAAAATTCTTTTAGGACTACTTCGTGTAAATGCAGGAAGGATGTTCCTGATGATGGGAGATTCCAGAACCAGGGATCACAGTCTAAGGATACTGGGTAGGCCAGTTAGTAGTGAGATGAATGGGCAATGTCTTCATGCAGCGAGTGGGGAGCCTGTGGAATTCTCTGCTACAGAAAGTTGTGGCCAAAACATTGAATGTTTTAAAGAAGGAATTAGATTTAGTTCTTGGAGCAAAAGGATTCAAAGGATATGGGGCAAAAGCAGGAACAGGATACAGAGTCATGATCATACTGAATGGAGCAGCAGGCTTCAATAACTGAATGGCCTATGTCTGCTCCTGTCTTCTATGTTTCTAAAGTTTGGTCAAAGATTGTTTTACCGAAAGAGAGCAAGATAAAGACCTTCAGGGACAGTAGGAACTGCAGATGCTGGAGAATCTGAACTAACAAGGTGTGGAGCTGGATGAACACAGCAGGCCAAGCAGCATCAGAGGAGCAGGAAGGCTGACGTTTCGGGCCTAGACCCTTCTTCAGAAGATAGAAACCTTACCTGGCCTAGTTTTAAATTGCCAAAGATCATTGGATTCTGGAGAAGTACCAGTGGATTGGAAAACTGCCATTTAACATCCCTCTTCAAAAAGGAAGGGAGGCAAAAAGCAGCCAAATGTAGGCCGATTAGCCTCATGTCTATTGTTGGAAAAGAACTGGAATTAATTATTAAAGAATAGCAGAACATTTGGAAAATCATAATCTAATCAAGCAGAGTTCAGCATGGCTTCATGAAAGGGAAATCATGTCTGGCTCTAAGGCATTAGGTTTTTTGAGGAAGACTCAATCTGAGTGGATAAAGGGGAACCAGTAGTGTGTTGTATTTGGATTTCCAGAAAGCATTTAACAAGAAACCTCACAAAAGGTTCATGATGTTGAAGGTAGTATACTGGCATGGTTGGAGAATTGGCTCATGGGCAGGAGACAATGAGTGGGATAAGTGATTCTTTTTCAGTTTGGTGACTTGTGTCCAGTGGGGTCTCACAGAGATCAGTGCTGGGACCACAACTGTTTACAATATACATTAATGACTTGGATAAAGGAAGTGACTGTACCATAGCCAAATTTGCAGATGACACCAAAATAGGTGGGGGAAAGCACATTGTGAGAGGGATGCAAACAGTTTACAGAGAGACGTTAATAGGTTCAGTAAGTGGGCAAAAAATTGGAAAATGGATTGTAAGGTATGAAAATACAAAGTTATTCATTTTGGAGTATGATTTAAATGAAGAAAACCTGCAGAAAGCTGCAACAGAAAGGGTCTTGAGGGGACTTGTACATGAGACACAGAGAGCTAGTACACAGGTGCAGCAGGTAATTGGGAAGGCTAATGGAATGTTGGCCCTTATTTCAAAGGGAGTTGGAGTATAAGAGTGGGGAAGTCTCACTGCGACTGTACACAGTGCTGCTGGGACCACATGGGAGTACTGTGAGCAGTTTTGGTCCCCTTATTTAAGGAAGGATATTTCATTGGAGGCAGTTCAGAGAAGGTTCACGAGGATGTTTCCTGGTATGGATGGACTGTCTTTTGATCAAAGGCTGAACAGTTTGGGATTCTACTCACTGGAATTTGAAGAATGAGAGGTGATCTCATTGAAATATATAGGATTCTTAAGTGCCTTGACAGGGTAAATGCTGAAAGGTTGTTTTCCCCCATGGGAGAGCCTAGTACCAGAGGGCACAGTCTCAGAATAAAGGGATGCCAACTTAAGACTGAAATGAGGAGGAATTTCATCCTTCAGAGGGTTGTGAGACTTTGGAACATCTTGCCTCACAGAGCTGTGGATAGCTTTTCTTTATTCACTCACAGGGTCATGGGCGTCACTGGCTGAGCCAGCATTTATTGCCCATGACAACAAGGTGCAGAGGTGGATGAACACAGCAGGCCAAGCAGCATCATAGAGCAGAAAGGCTGACGTTTCAGGCCTAGACCCTTCACCTTTCTGCTCCTATGATGCTGCTTGGCCTGCTGTGTTCATCCA